CGTACGTCCGGACTGCTAAGCGGACATATACAGGCTTCCGTTGGATGACAGAAGTGGTCTGGACACTATGGTCCGGACATATAGTAGAGGTTTGAGGGTCCGCTTTGAACATGCCCTTACGTACTACGTACCTCTATTCTAGAATATTTTGAGCTCTAGATTTGTATGACCAAGTTATAGGAAAATTTTCCGATAACTATACAATGTCAAAAGTATGTATTATGAAAATATATTTTATGTTGAATCTACATAAACTAAATTGTTTTGAAAATGTTGGTATATTTTTTTTATAGATTTGGTTAAACTTAAAGAAGTTTGACTTAAACATAGAACTTCAAATATTTTGGAATGGAGGGAGTACATTCAAGTGTGTAAATCATGCTAATAAATCTCACTAATAAATCATGGTTTCGTCTATCAACTCAATTCAGTGCTCGCTGACGCAACTAGTCTCTGTTTATTTATTTATTTTTTATCAAAGAGGCAGATGCCTGGCTTTAGATAACTGAATCCCTCAAGAACAAGGTTCACAACGCCACTCACACACAGGCCGACACGGTCAACAAGGTTCAAAATCCAAACAATCAGTCATACATGCAAAGGATCAATTTCTGTTTTCCTGTTTTTCTTGTCTAATCAAGCTGCTGAATTTTATTATTCATACAAATAATTTTACTCCTTTGAGCAAATCACATAATTCGGCATATTATTACTCTTCAGAAAAATAGAGATTTGAGAAAATAATTTCAAAAGTAAATTCTAGGACTGCAGATCCTAAAATCATCCATCAATCACCTTATACATCTCATACCACAGTAGCGTGGTTACGATAACAACATAAAACCACTAGCACCATCTACAAATTAGTAGAGTCTTTCATTTCCCACTGCAAACTATTGCTTTGTAATGGGCTTGGTGTGCCCACATGTTGGTAGCATTGCTTTATACGAATATGTAAGTAAAATAAAAATATCAAAACATTCTTATGACAAACTTGTGACGGTACCTTTGCATGATTGCATGAAATGAGCCTAAATAGCTAGGTATTCACTATTTACGAAAGATGTGATGATGATTAAATTGCATAGATTATTCTTTAGCAAAAGTTTTAGGAAACTAAATCCTCTTCTAATCAAGAAGTTTCAATCCAAACAAGCTAATGGGTAATAACAAAAGAAAATCAAAATCGCTATAACCCCTTTGCGGACCAGTCAAGTCCTAGTAAAGTACTCCCTCTGTAAACTAATATAAAAACGTTTAGATCATTAAAATAGTGATCTAAATGCTCTTATATTAGTTTACGGAGGGAGTACTAATCAATGAAGCTGTTGAAACAAGTGTGCCGTTGAGGTTTGCCCACATGACTACATGAGCCACTCGATTCATACAACACATAGGAAAAGCAAAGGCCACACGCACAAAGGCAAAGGAATTGTACTACAAGCTAATAGTGACAAGTAACTGAGGGTGACACATCACATGTATGTGTCTACAACTAACAGTAGCGTCACCTAAAGGTTCCAAAATGGAAACGAGTTGGTGCCGACGTTAATAGCAAATGTGTTCACCGTCTTTTTTTTTTTTGCCATGGTCCATATATAGTTTATATTGAAATATCTAAAACATCTTACAAGTGTACTAATCAAGGAGGTCACTGAAACAGGTGTACGGTTGAGGTCTGCCCACATGAGCCACTTGATTCATACCACACATAGGAAGAGTAAGAGCCACACGTGTATGAATCTAGGGAAATAAATTTACATGCCACAAAGACTATTTTGAGAATCTGCATCGGAACAAAGGAGAGAGCAAGGCCACCGTTAACCGCACAAATTCACTGAAATCATACTGTACTAGTTCAGAACATTGAAGGATTGTTCAAATGGAAATATCGCTGATTAATTTCGCGAAATCCAGATCCGGTGGACCGCTAATCATCGTCCGCTACACGACAATTTGATGATGAGAATAAATTAAATTGTTCCACGTAACCATGCATGCAAGCAACCGGCCGGGGCACGAGGGAAAAACTAGCGAACACCAAACCGGATCGGACGGCGTACGGCGGCGCTGCCTCATGCGGAGGCGCGCCGCGTGCTGGCTACACCGCCGGACAAGTGCAAGACCTTGAGCACGAGAGGAGAGAGCGAGTGGCTTGCGTGCGTGCGTACCTCCGGGTGATGGCGAGCGGGGAGAGGTGGCCGGAGGCGTCGCGCGCCGCCAGGCCCACCGCCTTCCTCGTGTGCTGCTCCGCCGCCGTGGGTGCCATCCTGACTGGCGCGCTCGAGGTCCGGCCGGCCGGAGAACTACTTCTTGCGTCTCTGCTGCGGTGTCGTGACTGCAACGGCGAGCGATGAGGCGATGGGAGTTCCGATGGCCGCCTTTTATACTACAACAAGGCCCGCGTCATCGCTGAGCCGGCCGGCCCATACACAGTGCCGCTGTCCCGTCGGTGTGAAGGAAACGATGGTTGTGGTGAGCGCGGAGTGGGTGTAACAGTGCCGCTGGCCCGTCGGTGTGCTGTGCATGCCGACAGGAAACCATTGGTTGTGGTGAGCGCGGTGTGGGTGTAACAGTGTCCCGTCGTTGTGCATGCCTAGAGGAAACAAAACACTCGGGCTTCATTGGGTCTCCCGATGCCATTGCCAGACTTTTCTTCCTTCTCCATCTCGAGGGGGAACAAAACAAGAGTGCGGCGTTTTCGTTTTCCTTTCGATGATCAGCTCTCGGAGGACGTGGGCAAACGATTCGTTTCCGTGCATCTCCCACGTCGACCCTTAAACTATCCGCAAATATATAAATCTCGCGGTTCAGACGTATTTTACTATCCATGTGATCCTGTCTAGATTCACAGTTTAGTCTAATCCGGATGCTTTTACCCACAAACCAGATAACCGCTGCCACGTCCACTCATGACTATCCTATCCCATCAAAAACGCTCATCCTTGGTCCGTGTGTGTTCCCACCCGACGCCAGTTCCCGCATTCATGTTGCTATAGCCGCTATAGAGCAAGCCCCCCGCATTGACGCCAGCCTAGAACGGACGTGGCCTCTCATTGACGCCGACATTAAAGTGAAAAGCGCCGGCCGCGCCGCGTCCTCGGTGTCTGCGTCTGTTCAATGTCGAAGAGACGTTTACTGTACGGGACGGGACTGATATCTACTATGCATGTTCAATGTTCATTCGTTTCTATGCAGCCATTAAGCAGGCTCGCCGGTTGAGGAACCAACTCCGGCACCGCGCATTGACGCACCCGGACGCTTGGCGCCACTGAAATCCACTATTTAAAGGCGGTCACGCCCGGCTAAATTTCACACCACAACACATCCCTCAACATCCTCACCACGTCCACTCAACATGCTCCTTCTTGCACCACATCCAGCATTACCTCAAGATCTAGTGCGATGTGGGAGAGCATGTCATCGGAGTAGAAGCACGAGGTGGCCGTTGATACGTCTTCAATGTATCTATAATTTCTAAATGTTTTATGCTATAATATTATCTATAATTCGTCATCATATACCATCAGCTTGGATAGGAAGGGAGCCGAAGAACATTTAAAAAAATGGCCATATAATAGGAAGTAAGCATTTACCAATTTTTGCCATAATTTTTTTTGGACACCACACAATAATAGTAGTGACAGTGATTTGATTACTGAGTGCAACTTCTCAGTTAACTCTAGAAATTTCAGTGAATAAAGGAGCGTTCGATTCCTCCCCGCTCCTCTTAACTCCGCTCCCGGAGCGGACCAGACTTCAGCTCACTTTAACGGAGCTGCCAAAACCGAGCTCTACCAACTCCGTGGAGTGGAGGAGTGGAGAGATTCCAAACAGGGCCTAAGAGCAACTCTAGCAGACCCCGTATTCTTCCGGCCCGCAAAACATGTTTGCAGTTCGCGCAAAAATGCCTTTGCGGGCCGGCGCGGACATCCACAGTTGTAGATAATATCCTTTTTATGGGTCGGATTTGCGACGTCTGATCTGGTGCAGCTTCTCCCGGCCCGCAAGACTTAAATTTGCAACTTAAATTGATCTAGCATAATGCATTTCTTTGCTTTTGCAACAACATTAGATACAAAAGACATCATCAAATCTTTGCTAGAATAGCAAAACCAAAGAAAACAAGAACCACAAGTATGCATTTCAGAAGATTTCCAACTTTCGTAACTGCTCCCACAAGTTGGACTAATATCTTCTGCATGCATTCATTGTTGATCTGCGGATTTTTGATTTTGCATTCTTCTTTCTTCATCTTTGGTTCGAAAGAAGTAGACGTTGCTTCCCCTCTAGTTGCACATGCAGCCGCATCATTGCCTTCGATTGTACTAAGGAGTGCACTAACATTTATTAAGTTTCTTTCTATCAATAAATCAATGTATTGGCCTTCCCAAACCCAAAATAAGCATCCATCGTCTTACACAAAAGAATGAGCAAGCTCAAAGTGAGCTACTGCAATTGAACTAAAGAATGAGCTATGAAATGAGCTATCGCAAGTGCACGTACCCCGTCGTTTTCGCATTTGGAGAACACCCATCCGGGGTGCTTCGGCGTGCCCGAAGTGAGCCGCAACACTTTCTGCGTGCAGTCGTCGCACTATATGAGCGGCATCGGCAAGACACAAAGAGGCTGCGCAAGCGCCGAGCCCGGTGGACGGCCGGACGAATCCATGCCCGCAAACCTTCGGCGGCGGCGGGCGGACGAAACCATACCTGCATGCGGCGATGCGCCCTTGCCTAGGCTGCGGGAGAGGCTCCCCGACCACTCCATTGCTTGGGGCAACAACCGGCGGCCGGAAAAAGCCAAATCCGACGTCCCGTGATGAAGTGCCGTAGATCTGCAAATCCGGCGGCCCACCGACGAAGGGGGGAAGGGAGGGGAGGCCTCGTGCGCGTGGCGGCCTTCCAGCGTGCTGCTGCCGGCTGCTTTCGCCGAAATCTTGGGTTGCGGCCGGCGGCGGCGTGAAGGGGGAGAGGAGAGGTGGTTGGTGGGGGAAAGCGCGGGATAAAATGTTTCCCCACCAACCGCTTCCGCTTATATGCAGGGCACCGCAGCCGCGAGGGGAAACCCCACGTTTTCCTGAGTTGGGGTCGGGATTTTGCCGCGCCCCCTAAAATTTTTTGCGGGCCGAGGCGGGATGCGGGGTATGATTTGGCTGGTTTTTCCGTCCCGACCCGCATTTTGATGGTTATTTTACGGGTCGGAGCGGGATATGAGGTCTGCTAGAGTTGCTCTAAGTTGCAACTTTTACAGCCGAAGAACTCATCATAGGAAACAGAAAATCGAATATTGTGATAACAGAGAAGAAAACATTGATAAACTCATGGGAAAAAAATTAAACTACTCCTCGAAACGACTGGGCTGTTGCCTGCCTCAGGCGGTCTTGCGTCCCACCCACCTCCGTCGGTTTTCTCCGGGAGATTAACACATCAAAAATGTCTACAATGGATCATATCTTAGCCTTATCTTCAATAACTAGTAATTCCTAAAAATGTGGTGAGACATATTGTGCTAAGGGCATGTACAATGGTGCTAGCTTAGGAGTGCCACGTAGGATAGATGATGATGTGGAGGAGAGAGAACCCATAAAAAAAGGTTTGTCTTCTCTTATTTAAGAGAAGACAAGATGTGATCTCTTAGCACAATATGTCTCACCACATTTTTAGGAATTGCTAGTTATTGATGATAAGACTAAGAGATGACCCATTGTAGACAAAAAAAATTTGTCATCTCTAAATCACATGCAAGACTTAAGATAAGACTACCTTATCCACCACTGTACATGCCCTAAGAGATCATCTCTTGTCTTATGTTAAATAAGAGAAGACAAGCCTTTTCTTATGAGTTCTCTCTCCTTCACCTCATTATTTATCCTACGTGGCACTCCTAAGATAGCACCATTGTACATGCCCTAACCCACCTAGATGCATCTAACCCACCCAAAAAAACTAACCCACCCAAGAGGTGTTTATTTGGGTTAGTTCTTCTCGGGACTACTAAAAAACACATTCTTCTCTCGCTTTTCCTGTAGCAGATCCCTCTTCACTTTCTCGAAGTTTCTCGTCCTCTCCCTCCCTCCCTCTCGCACCTTCCATGAAGGCGCCTCGTCGTATCCGTACTCCATCTAACCCTGTCATCCAAACACCTCTTTGATTAGAGTTAGTTTAGGATTAGTTCAGAGTTAAAGTTTAACTCTAACCTCTAACTGAGTTAGAATATCCAAACAGGGCCAATGGTGCGTTAAGGGAGATCCACGGAGGGCGGCGAACCGTCTGCTCCCCATTTCATGGTTTAAATACCGGAGGGGTGGCAGGAAGCGTCTTGCTCGCGCTGTTTTCCCCCGCTGCCGGAGCTTCCTCATCTACGCCAGCCAATCTCAGGTGACGCTGCGTTTTTCTTCTCTTTATCCAGACCCCCGACTCTGCTGAGGCCACGCTCTCCTGTTTATGCTGATTTTTTCGCTGCTCTTGCAGCGCCCGCCACGTGCTCGACGGAATGCTGAAGAAGGCTGCGGCGAGCGGCAAGGACCGCTTCGGCGACCTCACCAACGACCTCCTCCGGCATGTGCTGTCCTACCTGCCCAAGGATGATGCTCTGCAGACCTGCGTGCTTGGCGCCCGCTGGCGCGGCCTGTGGAGGCGCGCAACCAGCCTGCGCTTCATCTTGGACGAGAGGTCAAGGTTCCCGCGCTGCGAGCGTTTTGAAAGGCTGGTGAAGCTGGTCATCCGGCTCCGGGGAGACTCTCCTATTGTCAGGTGCGAGATCAGTGTCCATCCTGATGACGAGACGGAGACGGAGGGCACATACACAAACACCATGCGGTTGATCGAGTACGCTCTAAGATGCCAAGTCAAGGACCTGCTAGTCGGAGCTGTTCAAACTGAGGTCTACCCGCTGACATTCGACGCGCCTCTCATCTCCCAGCACTTGAGGACCATAGACTTCTTTTTTCTTCCTTTTGCAATTTGTGCAGATTATCTACAGTTGTGATTTAGAACGGCATCCTATATTTGGCAACTTAAAGACTCTGCTTCTCAATGAGTGGTTCACGACTATTGACTTGGTTTGCATTCTCCAACACTCTCCAGTTCTTGTGATGCTCACTCTTCAGCTGGGTAACACTGAGGTATCCCGATCCTCTTCAGACAAATACATTGCTCTATTTTGAAGGAATTTTCATGTATATTCTGTTATCTTACTAAATTTATTACATGATACAGAAACTCATTGGAACAACGGAGCACAAGAAACGGTAAAAGAATCATTTGTATGCGCGCACATGAAGGTTGTGAACACAACAACAACAACAACAACAACAACAACAACAACAACAACAACAACAAAGTCTTTAGTCCCAAACAAGTTGGGGTAGGCTAGAGGTGAAACCCATAAGATCTCGCAACTAACTCATGGCTCTGGCAAGTTTCCATGCACCCCTGTCCATAGCTAGCTCTTTGGTGATACTCCAATCCTTCAGGTCTCTCTTAACGGACTCTTCCCATGTCAAATTCGGTCTATCCCGCCCTCTCTTGACATTCTTCGCACGCTTTAGCCGTCCGCTATGCACTGAATCTTCTGGAGGCCTGCGCTGAATATGCCTAAACCATCTCAGACGATGTTGGATAAGCTTCTCCTCAATTGGTGCTACCCCAACTCTATCTCGTATATCATCATTCCGGACTCAATCCTTCCTCATGTGGTCACACATCCATCTCAACATACGCATCTTCTCCACACCTAACTGTTGAACATGTCGCCTTTTAGTCGGCCAACACTCTGCACCATACAACATTGCGGGTCGAACCGCCGTCCTGTAGAACTTGCCTTTTAGCTTTTGTGGCACTCTCTTGTCATAGAGAATGCCAGAAGCTTGACGCCACTTCATCCATCCGGCTTTAATTCGATGGTTCACATCTTCATCAATACCCTCATCCTCCTGCAACATTGACCCCAAATACCGAAAGGTGTCCTTCCGAGGTACCACCTGGCCATCAAGGCTAACCTCCTCCTCCTCACACCTAGTAGTACTGAAACCGCACATCATGTACTCGGTTTTAGTTCTACTAAGCCTTCCCTTTCGATTCCAAGGTTTGTCTTCATAACTCTAACTTTCTATTTACCCCCGTCCGACTATCGTCAACTAGCACGACATCATCCGCAAAGAGCATACACCATGGGATATCTCCTTGTATATCCCTTGTGACCTCATCCATCACCAATGCAAAAAAGATAAGGGCTCAAAGCTGACCCCTGATGCAGTCCTATCTTAATCGGGAAGTCATCGGTGTCGACATCACTTGTTCGAACACTTGTCACAACATTATCGTACATGTCCTTGATGAGGGTAATGTATTTTGCTGGGACTTTGTGTTTCTCCAAGGCCCACCACATGACATTCCGCGGTATCTTATCATAAGCCTTCTCCAAGTCAATGAACACCATATGCAAGTCCTTCTTTTGCTCCCTATATCTCTTCATAAGTTGTCGTACCAAGAAAATGGCTTCCATGGTCGACCTCCTAGGCATGAAACCAAACTGATTTTTGGTCACGCTTGCCATTCTTCTTAAGCGGTGCTCAATGACTCTCTCCCATAACTTCCTTGTATGGCTCATCAGCTTAATTCCACGGTAATTAGTACAACTCTAAACGTCCCCCTTGTTCTTGAAGATTGGTACTAATATACTCCGTCTCCATTCTTCTGGCATCTTGTTTGCCTGGAAAATGAGGTTGAAAAGCTTGATTAGCCATACTATCGCTATGTCCCCGAGACCTTTTTCATACCTTAATGGGGATACAATTAGGGCCCATCGCCTTGCCTCATTTTATCCTTTTTAAGGCCTCCTTCACCTCAGACTCCTGGATTCGCCGCACAAAACGCATGCTGGTCTCATCAAAGGAGTCTCCCAGTTCAATGGTAGAACTCTCATTCTCCCCATTGAACAACTTTTCGAAGTACTCCCGCCATCTATGCTTAATCTTCTCGTCCTTCACCAAGAGTTGGCCTGCTCCGTCCTTGATGCATTTGACTTGGCCAATATCCCTCGTCTTCCTCTCTCAGATCTTGGCCATCTTATAGATGTCCCTTTCACCTTCCTTCATGCCTAACCGTTAGTAGAGGTCCTCATATGCCCGACCCCTTGCTTCATCAACAGCTCGCTTTGCGGCCTTCTTCGCCATCTTGTACTTCTCTATGTTGTCTGCACTCCTATCCAGGTATAGGCGTCTGAAGCAATCTTTCTTCTCTTTAATCGCCTTCTGGACATCATCATTCCACCACTAGGTATCCTTATCTTCGCTTCTCCTTCCCCTGGACACTCCAAACTCCTCCGAGGCCACCTTACGAATGCAAGTCGCCATCTTCATCCACACATTGTCCGCATCCCCTCCTTCCTCCCAAGGGCCCTCCTTAATGACCTTCTCCTTCAACACCTGAGCTACCTCCCCCTTGAGTTTCCACCACTTCGTTCTAGCGACTGAAGGTTGTGAACACTGAATGTGGAAAAGTTGACCGAGGGAATTCGTGAAATCTTGAAGATCTTGAGTACGTGTGGCGTACGTCGTAAGCAAATCAGCGTCAATGATCCATGTTCTCGCTCAGACTATAAGCTCCTTTGTCGTTCTTCAGTCTCAGAGGGTGCTTGGATCCAAGGGACTTATTTTAGTCTGACTAAAAATAGTGTCTTTAAAAGGCTAAAGTTCCAAGCACCCATGACTAAAGAGGGGCTAAAACTAGTCTTGAGACTAATTTTTTTTAGTCAGGGGTACCCCTACTAAAATATGGGTTAGTCCTCTTTCTCCTCATTTAACTCCTCTTCTTTAACACATGCGAGTTCTGGATTGAAGGGTTTGAAGAATAATAAATGCTCATTAACTTGATTTTAGTCTCTTTAGTATTTGGATCCAAATATGGGTGAGGCTAGCAAGTTTTAGTCCCATTACTTTTAGTCATGAGATTAAAACGTATCCAAGCACCCTCTCAATATGTTTTTGCAATCATATCACCGCTTCGTCTGTCATGTTCTGCTGCAATTACACATCAACTTTAGTCTATGATTCAGTATCAATCATCGTTTCGTTAAAGCCCTGCCGAGTCTCGAGGCATCTGAATGGTCATACATGTTTTGATCTCGCGAGTCTAAACTCTGTTAACAATTAAATCTACTCAAGGCCAATTTTAGGAAACAACAACAACAACAACAAAGCCTTTAGTCCCAAACAAATTAGGGTAGGCTAAGGCCATTTTAGGAAAAACAAAGGAAAATTGATCAAATGCGTGATAGCTCCTATGCATCAAATTGTTTGCCAAGCTATTGCCGCGTCCATATCAAGCGAGGACATGCCGAAACCAAACTTGACGTGCATCGTCATGTATCACCGAAACCAAACTTACTGTGCATCGTCATGTTTGGTGCAGGTTTCAGCTTCCAGAAGCGCCCCGTGGCCGCAGCGGCTTCCACCACGGATGGCGCCTGAGGTGTGTGCCCGGTCGGGATATTTGGTCTATAGACTTCTGTGTTTCTCCTAATAAGTCTGTATTGCTACTTTTAGTTTCTCGCTTTCGATCTTTTGGTCCGGTGCTGGAACTTGAATTCGTGGGTTGTCAGGTGTGACCAAGCAATACGGTTTCTGCTTCGTTGCTCCGTTATCGGTAATGGAAATCGGTGTCGTGTGCCCGCACCCTGACTGCACGATTTCCACTACTTAGTTTGAGAAGAAAGGCTTTTGTGTTTGGATGAGAGGTTGGACCTAAACCTGAACCCTGTTATAGTGCCTGCAGTTGCAGTGTTGCTGTTTTCTCTCTGTCTGGTCGAATCGCATCATCTGCATTCCTTATGAATTCGACACCCGCACCTGCATATTGTCTCCGAGGACGGTGTAACTATGAACTGAAAGTTTATTAGTTTATACAGACGTTGCTTCCTGATGATAAGTGAAGATATGCCGTGCTTATAATCACCTGATGTAAACTTGGCGTTTGTCCTGTCTGCGTCAATGTATTTTTGGTTCCAAACTCATGGATACGGCGACGCGGAAGGACGTGAGCCATTGGTTGGGCTACGCTGCGTCGTTGGTTGGTGAGACGAGTGGCCCTGTATGTGACACCTCGACCTACCTACACCATGGCATGGCAGCTCACTCACTACTCGAACTGCTGATTAATTGGAACCAACTGTTGCCCGGCCGGCGACATTCAGATCAGATTCAGTCACGGAGGAAGAGGAAGAGGGCCTCCGAATCTCTCCCAACCTCAGCGCTAGTAGTTCTCCTCTATCAGGTAGGTATTCAGTTCTCTCTCTCCTGTTCTTGCTGAATTTGTTTGAAACTTTACATTTCTCTGCAGATGAACCTTTCTCTTTAAGAAGCAACGGCGCATGCTTCCCACTATCAAGGCAAAGGGAGTTGAGTCACACACAGTCCTCGTATTTATCGTCATACTGCTGCTTGATAAGTATTGCTGCTGAGCAGTGATCACCAACATTTCTGGGGCTCACATGGAAGCAGCAGCAGATGAGGAGAAGCCGCTGATTCACCACCTGTCTCCTCAGGTCACATTTGTTCTCTTCGCCATGCTTTATCCCTCTAGCTAGTCATTTTCTTTTTAGAGATCATCAGCTATTGGAACAAACATTCTCAGCTCAAAATTTTGTTAACTTAAGAATCAATACAAGAGAGATAATTTTCAGTACTGCAAGGGGAGTGAAATGAACCGTGTCGAGGATTGCAATTAACGTTTTCATTTGAGCACATTCTTTTTCATCTGAATGTACATAATCCTGCATCTTGCTACTTCTGTATTGAAAGAACAGAGACACTTGCTGCTTGGTGTTTCCTATATTAAACTTACGGTCAGTATTACTGAAACTTTTGTTTGTACTGCTCATCAGGATGATGGTTTAGAGCATACAAGTGATGGAACAGTTGATATCAACAAACAGCCTGCCAGGAGGCGTAGCACAGGGAACTGGAGGGCATGCTACTTCATTTTAGGTATTGGAAAAATGTTCGCACAATCTTCCTCATTTTCCCACTTGTATTGGCCCTTCCAAACTAATCAGTTGACTCCTGCACATCACATTCATGTTAGGTGCTGAATTCACCGAAGGCATCTGCTTCTTCGGGATCCAGAAGAACTTGGTCACGTACCTCACGAGCGTGCTGCACGAGAGCAATGTCGACGCCGCGAGGAACGTGTCGACCTGGATCGGCAGTTGCTTCTTCACGCCGCTCATCGGAGCCTTCTTGGCCGACACATACTGGGGGAGATACCGGGCAATAGTAGTCTTCCTTTCAGTCTATACCGTTGTAAGTTTTTCTCTCAATACATAAAGAGAATTTTTCGTTTGTCTGAAAAAAATGTTTAATGTGTAATATCTGCAATGCACAACATTCTGAATACTAGTTCTCTTGTGCTGGCAGGGGATGCTGGTTATGACATTGTCAGCGTCGATCCCGGTGCTGATGCCCTCTTTAAGCACCAGCGAAATCCAGCGTGCCATGGTCTACCTAGGGCTCTACCTCGTCGCCTTGGGGACCGGCGGCATCAAGCCGTGCACGTCAGCCCTCGGGGCGGACCAGTTCGACACCGCTGACCCGGTGGAGCGGGTGACCAAGGGCTCCTTCTTCAACTGGTACTACTTCCTGATTAACGTCGGCTCTCTGCTGTCGACGACCGTGCTTGTGTGGGTGCAGGACAATGTCGGGTGGGGAGTCGGGTACGCGATCCCGATGGTGTTGATGGGCTTCGGGCTCGTCGTGTTCGTCTCCGGCAGGAAGGTTTACCGGTACAAGAAACTGGGTGGAAGCCCTCTGAAGAGGTTGTCACAGGTGGTCGTCGCTGCTGCAAGGAATTATCGTCTCAAGTTGCCTGATGATGGCTCAGCCCCGCTGCATGAGGAGGAAATGTCCCCGAGTCAGGTGAATTGCAGCACTGAGCGTACCAGTCAGTTCAGGTTCCTTGACAGGGCTGCCATTGTAGTGCCACCTTCTTCGGGCAAGGCCGTGGAGACGATGGACCCATGGAGGACATGCACTGTGTCCCAGGTCGAGGAGCTGAAGATGCTGCTGCGGATGTGCCCCGTCTGGGCGTCTCTCCTCTTCTTCTTTGCGGTCACCGCTCAGATGTCGTCGACCCTGATCGAGCAGGGCATGGCCATGGACAACCGCGTCAGCCGGTTCACGGTCCCGCCGGCCTCCCTCTCCACTTTCGACATCCTCGCTGTGGCAGCCTTCATCCCCATCTATGACCTCGTGCTGGTGCCGCTTGTCCGACGCGCCACCGGGAGGGACCGGGGCCTCTCGCAGCTGCAGCGCCTCAGCGTCGGCCTCGCGCTGTCCGTGCTCGCCATGGCCTACTCCGCGTCGGTCGAGATGAGGCGGCTGAAGGCGGCCAGAGCCGGCCGGAGCGTGAACATCATGTGGCAGACGCCGTCCTACGTCGTGCTTGGAGTTGCCGAGGTGTTCACCAGCGTCGGCATCATGGAGTTCTTCTATGACGAGTCCCCCGAGACCATGAAGAGCATGGGCGCGGCGCTCGCCCAGCTCGCCATCTCGGCCGGGAACTACCTCAACTCCGCCGTGCTCGGCGTGGTCGCGTCGGCGACGGGGCATGGTGGCGCGCCCGGGTGGATCCCGGATGACCTCAACGAAGGCCACCTCGATTACTTCTTCTGGATGATGGCTGGTCTCAGCGTGCTGAACCTGTTGATGTTCATCTACTTTTCGCTGAGATACAAAGGCTAGATATTGTGAGTGTATTTTTTGTTTCGTTTACTAGGCTGAAAATGTATGTTGGTGCCTCGCAACAAAAATGTATCTTTGCGGAAAGGAACTAGTACCACATCTGGTATCCTATGAATGAAGCTCTCATCTCTATGGATATAGCAAAGGAGCGCCTTGCTGCGACGTCTAGAATTAGTGTTGAGATGAACCGTGCAAACAAATTTTGATATTGGCATCAGACGCACATACACCATCTCATCTTAGAAAATTATGGATCGTGCAGACATGAATCGATAAATTCTCCAAATAAATGACAATTAGGTTGATCACATCTTATAGAACATGCTATTGCCTTTTCTATTACTAAATTTCTTGTCTATTGTTGGCTGGAAACTTGAAAGGCTTATCACTAGATCAAAAGCAGAAGAACTTTTTCACCAAGCATTTTCTGTGCACAGATCGTGAAACCGAAACTCAATGTAGGGCAAAACTATTTCCTACTAATTTCATCCAACACTACCTACCCAATTCGCATACTTGAAATACAGATATAACAATGGTGTGCAATGTGCAATACAAAGAGGACCACTACACTGGAAAAGAATAACTTGCAACATGATAGCAGAAGAAAATGAGAGAACGATGCCTCTTTGTGTCGTGCACCATGTAATTCTCTGCTAGAAGACCAGGCCAAAATCAGTTATGTGCATCATGTTCTTGCTCTCCACGCCCATGCCCTTGGATTCAATCAACATACTATCAGCAAACTCCAATCAGAATTGCAACGGAAACTTGCAGAAGAGGAACAATTCATGAGAAATGTGGGATCATATCTGTTCATCATACTAGCATATACACGGTTTTTCCTTCTATTCCAAGTGTAGCACAATTTTGCACCAAGAATTGACTCTTCTACTTGCTGATACCAATGCAAAGGCCGGCCCTTAAAAACCGGTGGAAATGCAAGTAAATCGGTGATGTGTCACTAAAATTATCCCGATTGCAGACTTGCAGTCCAACCAGCCCTCTTAATTGCCAGTGCGTGTTCGCCGGCGCCTACGGACGTCGAGTCGCCGTGCGAAGCGGGATGATTGGTCGAGGGAGAGAGCAGGTGCTTCTGGACATGCCATTGCCTCCAAGGAAGCAGCATCCGTAACGATGAGTTTCTTGGGCTTGCAGCACTCCAGTTCCCTGATGTAGCTCTTAACGAACTAACGAGTTGATAGTGGCCCCCGAAAAATCTGTTTATGGGTGGCCTTTCTATGCGCATGCCAGATCGCCCAAAGGGTTACAAGGATTGTAACAAAATATGTAGAACGGGTGAACAGCCAATCAGAAAATCATGCTCCCGTGCGGCACCGCGGCCGCACCGGGTTGTCCCAAATGCGGCAGCCTAGTGCTCCCCTCTCCCCTCACTGCCGCCGGAGAGTGTCGTCGGGCAAAGCCCGGACGGCTTCGGCGGCACCCTCGCAGCGGATCTGATGGTCTTCCAGCTGGAAGGGAAGTGGTGGCCAGGAGCTTGTGTGCCGGCGGGTGCAAGGAGGAGTAAATTGTATAAAACCATCACTTTGAGTACTAAGTTTGCGAAAAACACTAGGGTACATTTTTTCTGCAGAAAACACCATATCTTGGGTAATAGTTTTGCAGAAACCATTGATTGGCGAATCTGGTTCTGTCAAGCTAGATTATGACAGATGGGCCCCTTTTTTCCCTACATGGCGTAACATTTCATGCTAGATCAATTTTAGTCTAAATTTATAAACTAGTCCATAGATTTTGCACAGACACCCCTAAATCAAAAAGAAAAAAGCAATCAACTCCACAACGCCTCCCCTTCTCCCCTTCTCCTTCCTCCCTCCTCTCTCTTTCCCCAGCCGGCGAGGGCCTGCAACCGCCCACCTAGCCCTTCAACCTCTCTGCCGACCAGCCTGTGCCGCACAGGTGCACATGCGCAAGCAGCAGCGGCGGCCGCCACACACAGGCGCGAGCAGGGAGGTACACGCACTTAAATGAGCAAGATCTGCCGATCAGTGATTTTTGTAAGACTATCACGCGAAATGTGGTGTTTTCTGTAGCGAAAATGTATATTAGTATTTTTCACAAACCTAGTCCTTAAAGTGATGATTTTTTGCAATTTACTCGGACATGAGGGACGTAAGGACTTGGTCGTGGCCCCATGCAGGCGTGGAACGACGGAGACTCTATTGCGGTGCAGCATGACGAGCTGGCCGTGGCGTGGTGCATGCATGGCTGGGTACGCGCCGAGTCTTCAACATCTCCAGCAAGCGTGGCTGGCCCCGATTTCTTTGGGCCTGTCCGTGGTTGCACCGGCCGGCCTTGGAGAGGCGGATTGTTGTGGCCATGAAGGATCTTTGTAAGGATTTAGTGGCTTGACGTAAACGGATGGTTGTGCAACGGTGGCAAGCTTAGCTGCAGGGATTGTGGAAACGTGATGGCGACAACACATAGGTGACGTCAATTGCGGTGCTACTCGAGCACCTTGTCATGAGCTCCCGGGTGAAAACCTGGGTTTCATTAGACCTATCATGAGGGCATTGCTCGGATATGCTTGAACCGGTTCTTCAGGGTGAACACCTATTCTAACATTGGGTGGTTGAGTCTAGTGATGGAGGCGCTTGAGCTCCACTCCCTGCTACTTCCGTAGGAGTTGTTGGATTTCGTGAAGAGAAAAGTGATATAGTACAAAAGAAAAAATATTTCTCTCAGTTAAGAACCAAGGTTTAATCGAACCAATAGGAGTCAACAAGCTAACATGACAAGCCGCACCTACGCACTAACAAATAAATACTTGCACTCAACTTGACAAGGGGGTTGCCAATCCCCTCGTCCTGCTAGTTACACGGTTAAAAGCAAATAGTGGATAGATAATGGTATAGTGAAGTGGAAAAATAATGAAAGCAAATAAAAGATGATTTTTGTAGAAGCTAGTATTAATAGAGAATAGATCCCGGCGGCCATAGGTTCACTAGTGTTATCTCTCTCGAAAGCACATAATAGCATGGTAGACAAATTACTATTAGGCAACTGATAGAAAAGCAACATTCATAACTATGATAATTCATGGCATAATTTTGTAAAGGCATTACGTCAGTGATAAGTAGACCCTTATCCAACTGCATCTACTACTATTACTCCACCCCGAAACCGCTATCTTGTATACATCTCAAAGTATTATGTTTATAAAAACAGAGCAACGCAATAAACAAAATGACATAATGTAGAGAGAAAGAAATCTAGCAATAATATTAAACTGCTTCATTTTATCCTTAGTAGCAATAATACAAATACATGTCTTGTCTCCCCATTATGTCACCGGTATATAGGACATTGTAAGATTGAACCTACTACTATGCATCACTCTCTTTGAAGAATTATCCATCTATCTTGGCAAGAGAAGACAAATAACTCAGAAGGCATACATAGCTACTCAATTGTACAACAAAGAAACTTCAAAAGATTCAATAATATTCAACATTCTGATTATAAATCCATAATTCATTGCATCCCAATCAACACACCATAAGGATTACACCACAAAAATAATATAAAATGGTAATAAAAGTATATATAAATGATAATATAGCAGCATGAAATGGTAAAAAAATTATAGATACATTTGAGACGTATCACTCCCTTCCTGAAGGCATTGCTGTTGAAGAACCTCGTCATCCGTGTGATGTCATGAGATGATTGGTGTGAATATGGTCATTGTTGCAGTTTGGCAAACGCGGATATGATTGCTTTGCTTTTTTTTTTCTCGCCCATGCATAGCTTTTGGTCTTATATGTCTTTGCTATTTGCTGGTGTTTTTTTTTGTATGTTGTTGTTGATTGTGTGCATCCTAACTATACAGAGGCCGAGTGTGTGCTCATAGTGCTTTGTATCCTCTTGATGCTCTCTTTTGAGCCAATAAAATCCACCGTTTGTCGAAAAGCAAAATTTGTATGGGAGAGAGAATCCATCAAACTGAATATGAAGTGGTTGGCATCAAGTTCTCTGTTACTCATCAACACCTCGACCAGATCCTCGTTTTTAAGGGCCCAGATGCAGCGAGCCATGTTGCGATAGACAAGAGAGTGCCGTCATGAATCCTCGGAGCCGCAAACCCCTTAGACTAACTGAGTTGACATCTTCCGGTGGTGTAACAGATCAGAAGTTGTGATGGATTGATGGGAGAGACGCCACAAAAAGATTTTTATTTTGGACGGAACATCGACACTCCACATCTTCGATCAGTCCTTGTTCTCTCCTTGAGAGTTTGGCGAACCAGATCGCCCTTCGAGCCATGTTTCATGACGGATTTTAGTGTCTACCAACATCTGATATGCTGACCGTACTGAAAAGATGTCATTCCATTCGTGCACCCAAGACTAGAAGTCATCAACTTGCCTTGTGCACAAGGGGATTAATAGGATCGTTTCGGCATCAGTGGGCAGAAATACTTCCATATCATTTGTCTGATTTCATTAGCAAGTGGACAAAATTAGTTCGCTGACTAGCTAAGGTGGGTTGCTCACTTAGGCAGTAATTGGTCTCATATTGAAATCCCATGATGACCAAGAATACCTCCAGATAGCAGTCGTTTGGCCATTGCCAACGTGTTTTATCAATCCTCTAGACATGGTGTCTGGGCCTTCCTAGCTCGGCATGTAAGAAGTCACACGTTGGAAAATACTTGGGTTTCAGGACCCGTGCACTTAATGAATTAGGTTCCATGAGCACACGCCACGCCTGTCTTACTATCAATAGTGCAAGCTTGAAAGCTTAGTATCCCAGAAGCCAAGCCCTCCTGCGTAATTTGGTCTAGTCATAACTGCCCAAGAAACCCAGCTTAAGTAGAACTGCTTGCTGATACTGGTAAATCAGGCAGGGAGACCCCATCTCTCCGTATCTTTTTTCGCTGTGTACTCAAAGGACTTGCTTGTCTTTTGACTTGGCAAAAACCGCAGGTTTCCTCTCGCCATCCTTACTACCAAACCAGAATTTCCGGATCAATGAGT